GTAAGCACCGGAGAACAACGTGCAGATATTCTTACAAAGGCTTTAGCAAGAGTTAAATTTACGAAAATGCGAGAACTACTTGGCGTAAACAACTTCGAACCAAATCAAGCTTACAGGGGAGATTATGAGACTAATCTTGAATTGGTAATTTGAATTGATTGCATAATTAGTGGCTTAATAATAGACATGAGTTAATTAGTGGAACAAATATAGAAGATATGATCATAGCATTGATTTTGAATTAAATATAGGAGATATGACAATATTATTAATTTTGAATTTGAATCTTAAATTCAAATTCAAAATTCAAATATGTGTAATCAATTCAAATAGGCGCGAATTGATGACACTTAATTTTCTTGCCTTTATTATGTACGTTTCATGTTTTGTTTCGGTATGTCTTAATTAGTATAAAATTGGGTGTTGTGTTGCATTGTAAACACCCAGATTTATATCTTTTCACTCCTTCAAAATAATAAAAAAGAATTCTCTAAAAGTCCAATCTCATTTTCGATTTGTCCTTTAGCAATCCATTAAATTGAAACCAACACCGACGAGGAACATGTTGAAGGAGTAGGCGTCGGCTACGCGATGATCGAATGTGCAGCCTAACACCATTCCACCACACTTCATCTCTGTCGCCTAACAAATTAGAAGGGCACAACAATACTTTGAAGGCATGTATACCACAAAACTAAAAAAGAGAAAAAAAAAAAGCGCCACCTGCGTACCTGAACAGTGAGGGCTCCACCCATCTTGTTGGGCAGAAGCTTCCCCTCAAATGTCTGATCCGCGTTATGAAAATCAAGCTCTGCAATCTCAACGTCCGCAAACGCTTCAATGAACTCCACACCGCGATTATTACAAAGCAGCTCCGGCTCTCCCATGGAATTGCTCACCACCTCGCCGGCAAACGGATAGTAAGTAACCAAAGACTTGGCCAGAGAGGTCTTCAGAACTTTGACCAGAGAAGCGAAGGTAGAAGAGGAGCTCTCTAATTGGGGCTTCGTGTATATGAAAAAGACCCCTACGTCCAACGGAGGAAGAAGAAGGTCGAGGTTCGAGAGAGAGAGCCAGTGCTCCTGTGATGGAAGTGCGGCCGAGATCGTTTCTTTCCGGCAAATCCTCACCGTGTAATCTTTGCTGCTCTCCATTTTATTTATTTATTTATTTAATATGATGGTGTTTTTTGTGGATGTGAGGGATTAGGGGTTGGGGAGCTATTTATGTTAATTGTATTTGTTGCTTAAGAATAATTTTATTGAGTTAATAATAAAGATGTTTTAAGACATTTGAGATAAACAATGACTAAAATTGTATCAGAAAAGAAAGTTTAATTTAATTTATAATTATTAATTTAATTTAAATATTGATCAATTAATTGTTTGCACACTTTTTTCCAAGCTAATTGATTAATTAATTTCAGGATTTATAACTTTAATTAATATTTGATGACCATATTTTGACCGAAGCTTTTACTCAAATAAACTATGTATGTGTTGTGTTAACTTTGAAATGAGTTGGGAGTTGGTGTAGAAATGCAATTTTAGAAAAAAGGATTATTATAAATTGAAGAATAATTTGTGTATGAATATTCAAAGAAGAAATTAAGAAAAAAAAAATTTCCAACTTGGAATAGCTTGTGTAGATTCTTACAAATATAAAATATTTTCATAAACTTTATACGATTTACATGCATACCCCACATTCTCATGTATTTACATATCTTACGTCTAAATTTTACTTTTTTACATTTATACCACCTAAACATTTCATATCACAAAAAATAGCACCACAATTTTAACTCTAAAAAATGAAATACATCGAGTAAGGAGGCACCTTTAGGAGTTCGATATGTAAATAAATTCAATTTGAGTGGTGTATTTGTAAATATACATTGATAATCATTAATATTAAATTTATGCCCTGAACTTTCTAAAAATTATTTTAATTATTTTAATTATTTCCATGCAAATATTTCCATTTATGCATGGTAGGTTGGATCCAAGCCTAAATATCCAAAGCACAATATTATTATTATTATTATATTCTTTAGTAGTCTTCGGTCTGAATTAGAAATGCCATCTTTCAATATAAGTTGAGATGTCCAAAATGATTGGACTAACGCATCTAGAACCATTTTTAAAAACACTGTTTTCTCACACCCAAAAATAAAATAAATTTAAAAACATTAGGTAGCAATAAAATACTTTCCATACAAACTCCAAGTATCAATATATATTCATTATTATGAAAAATAAAAAAAGGATAAATTTCTCAACTTGTCCATTAGTAACTGCAACACGTGTACCAAACCGCAGAATACATCAGAGAGAATGCAGAATACAAGATTTAGAATCTTAGAGTCTCAGAGACTCACCTAGGGTTACAAATAGAACATATATATAACCTTATGGTACAATATGTAATACTTAAATTACCTATGTACCAAACTGCGGGGTGTTGGACCCACACCCATAATCCACATAATGAAACTCCCCCGATTGGACAGATCTTTCCTCTCCACTCCACTCATGGGCTCCGCTCCGCTCCATCATCTGTCCCATTTATGTTATACGAGTCATACCTAACAAATCTCTATACTGACGAATATTTAGCCTCTTAGGAGAAATACATTTACCCAAAAATCTCCACATTGGCGAATACTCAGCTCTTTAGGAGTAATGCATATACCCAACAAATTTCCACCTTGACAAATATCCAACCCCTTATGATAAAATACATAATGGAGTTTCTTATGCACCAGTGTGGGTTGGGCCACTATGCTTTCGTTGCGCCCTCGTTCCCCTCAACCCACTAAATTCCAAGAGACACTCCTCTTCATTCCAAGAGAGTCCAAATTATGGTATTATGAGTCATACCTAACAAATCTCTACCTTGACAAATATTAAACCCCTCAGGAGAAATATACCATGGAGCTTCTTATGCACCAATGTGGGTTGGGTCACAATTTTAAATAATCTCTTTATTAAGATTCCTTAATTAAGTTTCTTTTAATTAAATTTCCAAGAAAAAAATGACAGAATCTTTCCGAAAAATGATTAAATATTTGCTTAATTAAATTTCCCTTAATTAAGTTTCACAGAAAAACAACTGAATCTTTCAAAAAAATAATTTAAATATTCTCTTAATTAAATATTTCTCTTAATTAAGTTTTCCTTAATTAAATTTTCATAGAAGACATTTTCCTTAAACTTCCAAGAAAAGCTCCACTTTCCTTCCCAAAAAGCCCAGCCTCCGCTTTCCAGAAAAGCACATTTTTCCTTTTTGAAAAGCTCCGCTTTCCTTTTCAGAAAAGCTCCGCCTTCGCTTTCATTCCAGAAAAGCTCTGCCTCCGCTTTCCAGATAAGGTCCGCCATGCGAACTGCTCCTCCGCGTAGCTTCCGAACCGAATCCTGTGAACGCCTCCTGCGCAAATGCCCGCGTCGGCGGGGAACTCCCATGTAAAACTCCTCCCGCGAATTCTCGCGTTCAACAAGCTCCTCCCGCGTTTTAGAGGGAATATTCCCTCTGATAGAGATGGAAGATTCCTTGATTCTCCTCCGGCGAACTGCTTGCAGCGAACCGCCTTCGCAAACTCCTGCGTTGGAGGAAGCCTATCACAAACAATCCTTCACACCTCCGTCTGCCAACCTCATGCGAACGCGTTCAGCTTCACCTTAGCAAACTGGTCCTCCCGCGCCCTTTGCAAACTTCTTGCTGCCTGCTCCAACAATCTGCCACGAACTGCCAAAGTTCTTCGCTGAATCGTTGAAGCCTCGAAATTCACTGAGCTCCTCTGCCCTAACCGCCAAAATCTTCTTTATTACAACGCCCAAAATTTTTCTTCCCCGCCCTAGAACCAGACTCTGATACCACCTGTTGAGAAATAAGGACGAAGAAAAACTATGAATCGACACAAATCCAGAAGAACGCAGAGATTTAACGAAGTTCAGCAAAGATGCCTACGCCCTCGGAAGCAGAGCGATGACTTACTTTTCAATATTCAGAAAAGAATGTAGAATACAATATTCAGAATCTCGATGTCTCAGAGACTCACCTAGGGTTACAAACAAGACATATATATAACCATATAATATAATATGTAATTACTTAAATTACCCATGTACCAAACTGCGGGGTGTTGGCCCTGCACCCCCAACCCAAATAATGAAACTCCTCCGATTGGACATATTCTTTGGCTCCACTCCGCTCCAGCATCTGTCTCATTTATGGTATATGAGCTATACCTAACAAAACATAAAATAAACATTTGTTAGCGGCGAGTTCTTCTTCTTCTTCTTTGTATTTGTTGTAGTGTGAGGTTTGAGACAAACTAACAGTGATCCTGCGAACGTCCTCCTCACCAATGTGAGTAGACAAATGATGCAACCTACTACCCTCTAATAAGGGGGAAGTCTCTGGAAGTCCAACTTCTCTATCAGCGACGTTCTCCTTTCAAAGCGTGATGGTCTCCACACTTTTGCCATTCTTCATTTTTGGAGCACTCTGGTTTCTTTTTTTAGTGTGTGGGCCAACAACACAGACCTCAAGCTGAACGTAGTCTCAAATTATGGTGGCACCTTCTTGATTTTTTATCCTTGTTTGTTTTTTTTCCTTCCTTTTTTTTGGAGATTCAATCCAAATCATTGTTGATTATGGGTGTTTTATTCTTTTCATGATCAAATTTTCTTTCCCTCGTGCTCGTCTCCGAACTTGACCTTGAATGCGAATTTTGAAAGAGTTTGCGCCCTCTTATTGAGCGCCAACAAGATGATATTTGATTTCTTTTTTCATACTTTTATTTTTCATTTACTACAACATCTTTGGACTTATTGGTCATTAGCCAATAAAAGCTCAACAAATCAACCAAAGAACAATAGAGAGATATGCTCATATATATAAAACATCAATAATACAGTGTATATCCTCTTTAAAGCTTGAGCAAAAATGTAACATTATCATATCATACTCTCTCTCATATAAATGAAGATATCATCATATGAATAATATATGTTAAACACAACGTATTATTGTCCATGCATCTCTAAGTTTATCTCTTACTCTCCAAACTTGCTCTATTTTTTTTTGGTGTGATTTATAGAAAAATAAGAATTCAACACCTATAAATAAAAAAAAATGTATGTTTCACTTTTTTAAAGCTAAAATGATAATATTTTTTTATGTCATTTGTGAATTTAGATGCCATAAATATTAAAAGTAATTTTAAATATATGGAAATTAGGTGACATATATGTAAGCTACTTGTTTAAAAAAAATATAACCTCCTCTGGCCTCATAGTGTTAAGGCCCGGCCCACAGATTCACTCAGCTGCCAATCTATTTGCACGTGCAAATCACGTGACATTACCATTCACCTTAAATAACATAAACGGTAGCAAATCACAAGCTTAAACCCTAGCCGCATTTAGGTCTCTATTATTTCTCGGAGAGCAGAAGGTGGGGTGTGGGAGTTTTCCCGATTCGAGTTTATTTTTCTTGCTTTTTGTACAAGCTATGCAATTCGTGCTTAAATAATGTATTTTTTTTCCCGTAAATCTGCAATGTAACGTGAGCTTCTTTTGCTCTTTTTGCTTCAGGGATCATTGCCCTAGTTGAAGATGTAAGGTTCCAGTCGGGAATTGCAGGAATTGACTTCTAGATGCGTCAATTCTCTCAGCAAAGGAGGATATTTAGTTAGTTATTGTACTTTGATTGCAAGCACCTCAACAATCTATTCTACACGTCCTGTCTTCTTTCGACTGTAAGTTTAATCGCATCAGTGAACTTAGAGGAAGGAACTAACATCCCTAGCTTTGATTGCTCCAAAGAATTGCAGGCGGAATCTCTATGTCGATTCAAGTAATGTCATTTGCAATCGGCAACCTTATTAAGCTTGCTTTGGCTTCGACGGTAACCATTCGGCTCTTTTCTTGTTTTTGTAGTTGCAATTTGTTTAAAGGGAATTGAACGATAGAGTGGTCTCTGTTATATGATCCATTAGCCATTTATCCATGCCTTCGCTGCCCGACATGCGATGGAAACAGGCTGCTGATTTATGTGTTTCTAACTCACATAAGATGCATTAGTCAAATTAGTATTTTTTATTTCAATGAGGATTTATCTTCACAAATTTAATTTGAATTCCATAAATTCAATATATATATATGGTGATTTTATTATAAATTCACACTGAAACTAAATCTCTTGTCCATTTAATTTCTAAATTCTGAAAATAAATGCTAAACAAGTTGACATGGTTTAGTCAGTTTACTAAATCATACTGTTAGCCAAACATTTTGGTTTGAATCAGTAGATGGGTTCATTGAAGGGGGGAGCTTTTAAAGGAAACTTTGTAGCTCTGAAAAGCCTGCAGGTTCTCTGCGGCTGCCCGTCTAATAGGAGCCCAATAGAAAATCCTTAACGGTCTCATAGTACAGGCTTGTTCTATCCAAGTGTTTGGGTTCTTTTGACTCAGCCCTTGGATTCCTTTTGCAGGCCGGCCTCCAATGACCGTCACATTGATTTAAATTATGTGAAATGAATTTATATCTTTATTGTTTTGTTTTTTGAATATTTTGGATGTATTATTTTGCATGATTTTCAACAGTTTATATTCTGTGGCTATATGATTTAGAGTTTAATGTTGATTATTTTATCCATGTGAATATTCAACAAAATGAAGATTATATTGTTTTTTCTTAAAAATTTAAACTATGATTTCTGTTATGTATAGATCATCGTATTTTCTATAGCTTGTTTTTTCTGTGTAACTGATTTTTTGGTTATGGCCCAATGCTAACTTTTCTATAGGCTTATGTAGTCATTTGATGCCAAAAAATTTATTTCTAAAATTCATAAAATTAGGTGAGTTTTTGTTTTATTTAGATGTAATTAGATGTCAACATTAATTTAAATATTCATTAAAATTTTTTAAAATTATTTAAATGTGATTTTTCTTTTAAAATTCAAATTGAGTGAAAATATAAAATTATTGTTGTCTAGAACATTTTTTTAATTTAGAAACCACAAATTGTGCGATTAGACATGGTGCTTTTCCTTAATATGATTAAATAATTAATGGAGGAGCTACACTTTTTAAAATTATATGATCAATTTTTTTCTTTATATCAATTTGAATTGAATATGCCATTTTTTTATTTATTTTTTATTGAGCAACGTAAGCTAGACACAAAAAAATAGTTTATTTATTGAGCAACGTAAGCTAGACACAAAAAAATAGAAAGAGTAATGTTTTGCTCCCTCCCAAAAAACTCAACTCAATCTACAATCCATAAGAAAAATCATAAATATGTAATTTCTTAGAATACATGTTTTGTCTAATTTTGATGTCATTTTATCTGAAATATTTGGGCAGTAAAGCCCTACTTAAAAAATATGGGTTTATGTTTTATATTTACTAATCTAATACATCTATGTTTGTTATTTTTGGTTGCATGAACCTTGATCTAATAGAAATGTTAAAGCCTTTTTATTTTATTTGTAGTTTATATGCCATAAACTTACTGTGTTATTTCTTTATATTAGTTAATAGTACAAGCTAGCTTATAGGTAATATTGATTTTATAATTTGTATGATGTTTATAGTTTGAGGCAACTTTATCTATAATAAAAAAGATATTTAATAGTTCTAAACTAAAATACTCTTGCATTCATTTTTCAAATTTCTTTCCAAACCTCAAAATTATCAACAAAATGTCAATCCTCACACACACACACACACACACACACACACATACATGCACCTCGTACTCAAATCAGTTGGTCGGGCATCTGTTGTCAGTTGTAAGTGCCCTCTGGTATGGGGTTCGATTCCCCCTAGTAGATGTGTGATACTCGAGTTGTTAGGCACATCGGGGATGGCCGAGGCTCGTATGATAAGCCATTTCTTTTAATATATATATACATATATATATATACATATATATATACATATATATATACATATATATATATAT